ATGCAGCTTATAATTTTTTCACAAAACATTCTTCTATACATTTTTTTTTTTTGTCTGGTAAATACATTTTTTTACACATTTAAACAAATTGTTCTATACATTACTGAAAGTACTTTTTACAACTATTTAGCTTAGGGCTTAGGTTGAACATCAGAAAAAAAAACATACATTTTGAGCCCAGCCCTGCCTCCATGTGGTCTTCGGGAGCCTCCTCAGTGACTCGGAGGACAATGCGGTGACAGTGGAACGAGGCATGTCAAACACTCTGGAGACCACTCTGTATGATGTACCACTGGCCAGACTGAAGAGAAACACCAGGGTCTGGATTGTGGCACCCCATCACTGTTGCTGTTCACTTCTCAGAAGATCCAGCAGCACTGTCAGGGCCTCCCTGCTCAACCTGAAAACCATTAAAAACCTGTTCACATTCAGCTTTATCCTGCAGTACAGTGGTCTGGTATGATTTAGTGAAAGAAGGAAAAGAGAAATTGTTTAGAGCTATGACAAAGTAATTAGTAGAAGAAATATTGAGCTACTTTAGTAAACTACTTTTAGTAACTACCAATACGATATTGGGGAAAAGCTACTAGTCATATTTATAACCTTAGCTAAAGGGATAGTTCACCCAAAAATGAAAATTCCTGGAACAACTTGAGGTTGAGTAAATGATTACAGATTGCACTAATGTGTATGTTGCATTTTACTTCTGAATATGTTCAAGGTTATTAAATTTAAAGTTGCCTACTAAATATACTGTTGGGTAGTTTAATCTACAACAATGCATCATGTTGTAAAAGACCATATTTTTAGTGTTGCTGTCTGTGAGAAAAAAAAGAAAACTTAGTACTTCACATTTGTTCGAGAATACTTAACAAATGTACTTTCTTACAGTTTACCTCTGATTATGTTGAAAATGAAAGTATCAACATTTTGTCAGAATATGAACACATTTTTGCTAACTACATCAAAGGCTGCATCTGAAGGACTCAGAGCACTGTTCAGCTGTGACAGCTGCCGCTGAACATTGAGCTGTACAATGCTCTATTCACAGTTTTATTTTTGCTTACCTGTCTACATATGATCACCACGGTCAAGACAATAAACTATATAAAATCACACCTTTGTAAGATATCAGTCAGCATTTTAACTGCTATGTGTGTGTGTATTTTGTAGTTTTTCATATGTATCATTACATTATTCAAATAAGCTCCAAGCCAATTCCTGCATTTAAAGTTGTAATCCGACAAAGGACGCAGCAAACCAGTGTAATTTACCTGGCTGCAGGGATTAAAGTTCCGTCACTACGACAGATTCCCATCAGTTCATAAAGACTGTCACTTGCTTCGTTCCTGAACAATTCAGCCATTCGAACGAATCAATTGAATGAATGATTCAGTGATAAAATCAGTGACTTGCCGCCACCTGCTGGCGGATTTAGTTTCATTTTTAGCATATAACTTCAGTTATTTAAATCATATTTCTGGATTCAAAATTTTAAATTTAAAACATTCATCTCCACATGAATTTATGAATTTAATTGCACTCATGCTACCTTTGAGCCTCATTAAACTGAAAATGCACCTACAAGCCACTTTTGTGTTCTTCTGTGCCACCTCTGTAGTACAAATTAATTTATTAATACTAATTTCATATGATTGGTAACAGCGCAGTTGCTCTCCACCGACTGCGCTGATCAAAAGCATGATGGGAAACGACTGACTGATGACACAGCTTAATGCTCATTGGTTCAGACAACTGTGATGCTGTGTTCTCTTCTAAAATGTTTTATTTTTTATCTGGTTTCTTGTGATTATGTATTAAATTATGCATGAATATTCTATAACACTATGACAGTGCGATATCTGTGTGAGATATGTGATTGTTGTCATATTTCTATAAAAATCTAAAATACATGTTTGTATTAAAGTAAAAATTAATGATAAATATGCCTTTCGTAATGGATTTAAATAGCAAGCACTTTGAGTGTCTTGTTCATCATATTTATTTTTATATAAAGGCAACATAACTGAAGTCATATCATGTTAATCAGCAGCACAGCATGTGAGTGTGAATTACGCGATATCTGCCTTTGATCTCGTAGGTAACAGGTAACGTAGGTAACAGAAACAGTAAAATATATTAATAAAAACAGTTTTATTGAGAATCTGGCTGCATTATTAATCTAGATTTAAACTGACAGAGTGTGTCTGCCTCCCGAACAATGTTAGGTAGATTATTCCAGAGTTTGGGTGCTAAACAGGAAAAAGATCTGCCGCCCGCAGTTGATTTTGATATTCTAGGTATTATCAAATTGCCAGAGTATTGAGAACGCAGCGGACGTGGAGGACTATAATACCAGTTTTTTATATCGACTATGCATTCCGTTAGTTTTTCAAATTGGTATGTTTTGCCGGGCCAAGAAGAAATATAGAGCTGAGTATCATCAGCATAACAGTGTAAGCTAACACCATGTTTCCTGATGATATCTCCCAAGGGTAACATGTAAAGCGTGAAAAGTAACGGCCCTAGTACTGAGCCTTGAGGTACTCCATACTGCACTTGTGATCGATATGATACCTCT